CAAAATTATTTAGTAAAAAAATAAAATACAATATTTTTTGTGTGAACTTTTGACAATTCCAGCTAAATGATTTTGAAATTCGGAAAGGCAAAAAGATTGGTGTTACGATATCATTTAACAATCACCGACTTTTTGTCGGCAATATTCCTAAGAATAGAGATCGTGACGAATTAATTGAGGAATTTACCAAACACGCACGTAAGTGGTACATTTCAAAATCATAACCCAAACAAAACAAAACAAAAACCAAAGCAAAAAAAAAAAAACCAAATCAAAGCAATTGAATTCAACTCCCAATTACCCGCCATTTAATCCTACCAAAATCTCCCTATCGTATGTATTACACAGCTATAAATTTGTAAAATTTTTCAAAAACAATATTTTAAGATTCGAAAATGGTTAATGTGAGTTGAAAGCCCGCTATGTGTACATACATACACACATTTAAACATATGCATAGCGTACAGTATATAGTGAAGAAATCACAGTAATTTTCTGCCATGCATGACTTTCTCCTCTTACTTCACCTTCAATTCGCAATACACCATTTTGAAACTGTGAAAAATTGGTTAACCGTTACAATTGGCGTGTATCGAAAACTAAATCAGCTCATTTTGTTAGCGTCAGTTGCAGAATATACAAAGAAAATATACAATTGGTGTGTAAAAAATAAGAAGAAAATCACCAAGCCTGGGTAAGCGTAATTCAAATCTCTACAAAGCGTCGTATGGGGTGACAAACGCTTGGAAAACGTAGAGCTGTAAAAATTTAAACGAATTGGATTTTTGTTTTGCAATTTTCGCTAAAAATGCTGCGTTCAAACCCAATCATTCTATTTAGAAAACAATCAAGCCAGAGTAAAAGCGCAAAAACAAAAAGTCTACAAAGACATCTGATTTCAATACTACCGTTTTTGCATTTGCGCTTTTGCGTTGGCACTAAATTAGTAGCGTGTGTGCTTTTGGCACTGCCCCTCCCATTTCACATGAACGAATTGAGTGCGAAATTATTAGAAAATACAACAAAAAATATATCAATATTTTCTTTTTTAATTTTACAATAATTAAATTTAAAACTGTAGCTAACAATTAACATATGGAACAATCAGTGCGCTAAAAAAAGCAAAATCTAAAATGAAAAATCTCTACAAAAATCAAAACATCGAAAAATCATTGCCAAAATTTTTGAATTTTTTTTTTAGATTTAAAATTGTGAAAACTTTAAAATCTAAAGTTATGAAACACTTTATCATCTGTGTTTTTTTGGTTAAGTCCTTGATTTCAAGTAGCGGACGCGGTGATGCAACGGTAACAGCTCAAATTATGCATAAAGCGAAATAATTTTTTAACTCTTTTGTGTATCTGTAAAATTTAAGCATTTTATATAGTCTAAATTGTATTTCAAATAATCCTGGGATTTTAAATTACATACAACTACTTGCCTTAGTTGAAAATGCATTTGAAGAATTTTTAAGTAATATAAATTTATAGAAAACCTTTTATACACAAAATATTTTTATTAAAAGAACACAAAAATGTATTTTAGAATGTTAAAATCCACCTTTGGTTGCCGAAAATAACAGAGTAGCACAAGCACAGTACAAAATATTTGCTATAGAAGCATTAACAATAACAGTTTCCGCTACCGTACAGTTACAGAATTAAACCCCTATGTACAACGGTAGCAACAGAGATCGAACAATGCAGCCAGAGCATGTTAATAAGTCATTATTTTTTTATTCAAATATA